TCATAATCAAAGGAGCGAACCGCATGTAAAACTCCGGTTTCAGAGTTTATGGACACGTAGTTAGACACCGGACTACCGCTTATGTGTGTGTTTTCCAGGAAATAGGAGACTCTTGCGTTTTGATTCCAGTCTGAGTCCTGCGCACTGACAGAAGTGATTGACATTCCAGGTGAATTATTCTCTGCGATGTGGGCAGAATATGATGTTTTATCAAACAACGGGCCATTATCGTTTACATCAGAGACTTTAAGCTGTAATGTGACGGAGCTAGAAAGAGGAGGAGAACCTGAGTCTGTGGCTATAATTGTAATATCATATTCAGAAGTTGTCTCTCTATCAAAATGCTGATCCGCCACCAAGTTATAGTAGTTAGTTAATGAAGACTGAATTTTAAACGGAAGGGTTTTGTCTATAGCACAGTTTATCTGTCCATTTTTCTCTGAATCAGCATCTTTGACGTTTACAACTGCTATAGTGGTGCCGATAGGAGCATCTTCTGATACAGTATTAGAAAAAGACATGATATTTATAACTGGAAAATTATCATTGACGTCACTAATATCAATTATAACCTTACTGGTCCCAGTTAAACCTCCTCGATCCCTTGCCTCTAACCTGAGCTCATATTTTTTCTCTTTTTCATAGTCTATAAGTCCAGCAACTGATATGACACCTGTGTTTTCATCGATACTAAATATGTCAACCGTAAAGCCTCTTATTTTTGCAAAGCTGAAAATGACCTCCCCGTTAGTTCCGATATCTGCATCAGTAGCGTTAACTGTTGTGATGTAAGTCCCCTTTGGGGCGTTTTCCACGACAACAGCCCTGTAAATTGACTGGTTAAATACGGGAGCATTGTCGTTTGCATCTAAAACTGACACATTTATATTCACCGTACCTGATCTCTGTGGGTTTCCACCGTCTACAGCTATCACTTTCAGAGAGAGACTCGGGTGTTCCTCTCTGTCTAATGGCTTCTGCAGCACCAGTTCAGCGTATTTACTGCCGTCTGGATTCGCATGCTGTTTCAAGATAAAATAATTATTGGGTGACAGAATGTAATTTTGCAACGCGTTGAGGCCAACGTCAGGATCAACTGCGCTTTCGACGGGAAATTTTGACCCAGTTGTGGCAGATTCGCTCGTTTCAAAGTGGATGTCTTTATTCGGAAAGAAAGGAGCATTATCGTTTATGTCTAAGATTTCGACAGTGACACGGTGAAGTTCGATTGGATTTTCTAAAATTATTTCGAAGCTGAGGCTGCACGGTGTCACGTCTCCGCAAAGCTGCTCTCGGTCTATTCTCTCGTTCACGACTAGAATCCCTTTGTCTGTCTTCAGCTCCGTGTACTGGATGTTTTCTCCGCTTACGATGCGGGCCCGACCAGAGCGGAGCCTTTTCAGGTCCAGACCGAGGTCCTGTGCGACGTTACCGATCAAAGAGCCCTTTTTCATCTCCTCTGGTATGGAATAACGAATCTGAGCAGCCGCTCGATCTCCCATAAAAGACAGCACAATGAGAAATACCAGTTTCCGTCGTAATATACAAAGCAATCGCCATCTTACATGTCCAGGGCTGAGTTGGCTTCGGTTTGCCATAATCACAAACAATAGAGCTTGACAAATAATGCGTCCTCACTTGAAGAAGATAAACTCCTCCTTAAAATATACAGTTTAAGATAACAGCGTGATCCTCGTATATTCCGGAGAGAGAAGTGTAGAAAATTCCCTCGTCATGCCTTGATCTCCCACGAAGGACGGTATTTCTAATGTCATGCTATAAGACGTAAGTGAGGGAGGAGAGGACGAGTTGTTACCACTAAAATTGTTTTACTGACCAACAGCGTCACTTAGAGTTCAAAATATGAACTCTTCATGCTAGAACTTAAAGCCCAAGTGTAACTGAGAGTTGTTTTTATTGTCAAAGTCGTTATTTTATTTTTTTTTATTTCCTTCGATGTTACATTTTGTCGCTGAGTATTGTTTTTTTCTATGTACAGTGAACGCACCACAGCGCTGCACACGGCAAACTCACTGCTCGGAGCGAGGTAACTTTCTTTCATGGCATCTGTCTGTAAATTTCTCTGTACATTCTCCCTGGGTTGAATGAGTAAAACAGCTCTTTGAAACATTGTTTTGAGCATTAAATTGGTTTTGTAGATGCACAAAGGTGTTGTGGAAGTTCAGACCTGTAACCCGTTGAACCAAGAAGAGTGAATGTATTTTGTTGAAAGATATCCTGATGGTTCTTGTACATTTGTGAGCGTGAAATGTAATTCAGGGTACTTATTTAGTTAGAAAACCAGTCAGGATATGCTATGTTGTGAAAAAAAATGTGATCGCTGTCAGCTGCTCATGACTTGTTCGTCGCGTTAGCTCCGCGAAAAGTAAGCGAGTGCACCCACATGTGCACTTGCCTGTGAGGTTTAAGGTAACACACCCGTGTGCGATGTGTCACCGTGGACCCGTCATGAGTTCGTAATGTGCAGTTACTTTTCATGGGCCAATTAATGTACACTGATTTTTTTTTTTNGGAGTTCCACCGTCTACAGCTATGAGTTTCAGAGACAGATTAGGATTTGTCTCTCTGTCTAACGGCTTCTGAAGCACCATCTCTGCGTATTTCTTTCCATCTGCATTCGAGTTTTGTTTCAGAACAAAATTGTCATTTTCAGTCAAGAGATATTCCCTGAGACCGTTAACACCCACATCTGGATCTTCTGCACTCGTCAAAGAAAAACGAGCGCCACTATTTGCCAATTCACTGATTTCAAAATTGATGCTATTTCTTTTAAAGGTGGGCGAATGATCATTTATATCTGTTATTTCTACTGTGATTTGATGCAGCTCCATAGGATTTTCTAAAATCACCTCAAAGCTGAAGCTACACGGCGTCACGTCTCCGCAAAGCTGCTCTCGGTCTATTCTCTCGTTCACGACTAGAATCCCTTTGTCTGTCTTCAGCTCCGTGTACTGGATGCTCTCTCCGGTCACGATACGGGCCCGACCAGAGCGGAGCCGTCTCAAATCCAAACCGAGGTCCTGTGCAACATTACCGATTAAAGAGCCTTTCTTCATCTCTTCAGGAATAGAGTAGCGAATCTGAGCTGCGGCAACGTTCAACAAAAAAAGCAAAACAAGAACCATTACCCGCTGAGAACCGAAACACAAACGCCATTTGCAGGGTGTATGCTGGTGCGCCATGCTAGAAAGGAACAATTTCAGAGTACAAATGAAATTAAATCCTCCGCTCTGAATTCAGGAACATCCACTGTTTCAGATGTGCATTGTTCATGTATCAGAAAAGAGAGAGAAAAAAGTCGCTACACATATTCCGGTTCGAGTTGAAGACGTTCCCTGCGATCTCACTAAGCCTGCTTCAGCCTGATTTTATAAAGAACGCCCCTGAGTTGCCAAAGAGAGATAATGGCACACCTTTTCTTGTTGTTGAACAGCGTCACTTAGAGTCCAAACTGTGAACACCAAACGGTTATAGTGAGTATCGAAAGCAAACATAAAATGATGTGTGTTGTTTCCTATAGTATGGCAACTGACAGAAGAAGGAAATAAGAAAAAGGAAAACGGAATTAAATCAAGAAAATATAGAAATATATGTATGTAAAAATATAATTGTTATCATTGTGATTATTATTTTAATAACTTATTATTGTTGTTGTTATTGATACTCTAGAAGAAGTAGCGACAATAGCATTTTCTTGTATGCACTTCTGCTTACAGGTTGTTTTTAAAAAAAGAAAGAAAGAAAGAAAGAAAGAAAGAAAGAAAGAAAGAAAGAAAGAAAGAAAGAAAGAAAGAAAGAAAGGTTCGTCGGAAACCGCAGTCAGTTAAGGAGGAGCTGTCCACCCGTGCGGTGCTGAAAACGGCTGCGTGCACTTGTCCTCGAGTAACGTGTGACAAACTATCTCTTAGAAATTGGTTTTGATGCAGAACATTAGCAATTGTAT